TCATACAGTACTAGCATTAACTTAGCATGTAGTAAGGGATCAACCTTCAGTGACTCCGACTTGTGAGCAGCACACAGTGACAATCAATTGTGAATATAAGGGATTTAATAAATGAAACTACAGCTAACATACAACAAGACTAAGCAAAACACATATATACAGAATGAAGAAAAGTAAGGAAGAGAGAGAGAAGAGCAAAAGAATGGCAGTATTTCACATCAATTAACCACAAGCTAATGAGAATCATCAAAGAATCAAAAATCACCTTAAAAGGGGCTCAAACACGCATCTAAATGGCTGTAAACGGTTACTTGCATTGGCTTCGATTGCTGAACAAGAGTCCTAATGCGGTAGACAGCGGAGGTTCTTGATGAGTTCTTTAGGAGTGAGGCCCAGATTATTTCGGGCTAATCACTTTTGAGGGTTCCTATGCACACCCCCTTTTGGGTGGAATGGCCAATCAGAGGCCTGAATTTTGAGCGGGAGAAACTTTCTTTGTCTCTTGTTTATGGTCCATTTGCATGTTTATTGCTGGTCTGGAAGATCGGTGCAGTTTTACCCAAAATATGCTACAAATAGTAAGATGCATTTCACGATCGCATAGTGTAGATCATTGTTTGAGGGATAAAGAGCTGATCATTTTGATACCAAGAACGAAACATCTAGAAGATCTTAAAGCAGAGATACACTCATATACCTGAATATAAGCATTGAGAGTCTAACTAATACAAATAAAGAGTTGTAACTAGGCTAATACAATAGGGAAACATACAAACAACACATGCATATACCAGATACAATTATAACTGATTAATTATAGTCTAAATAAAGAAATGTCTTTATGTGTGTGTGTGGGTGTGTGTTATGTGAGCATGTTGTAGTTTGCTGGTCAGCCAGGCCCATTGGTGCCTGGCCTCGGGGGTTCTCTTTGGAATGTGTTTGAAATTCAATGGGGAGACGAGAGTGGTGAAACTGTTTAGCATCTCCTTGATAGTGGGGGGGAACCATTGGCACTTTAGCACCCATATAAATGTAGAAACTGGGGCCAGGACTGTAATTTATATGCAAATGTCAAAAGGCTAAGAGGGGTCTCTAAAGACATAAAACCCAGATGATCATCCATGATTTTAAGCAGAAGTCACAGATGTTACCAGCTCTTTGTTGAAAAAGATCATGTAGCTCTTGAGCAATTAAGCTATTTTATTGATAAAATTGCGGGGCAGTGCTAAAAAGTTTGTTTTGTTGAATGTCTGTGTGTGTGCGCGCAACGTGATGTGTGAGTGACTGAACTGAACATGTGCACGTGCGATACAGTGAAGACAGCGCATTATTTTAGAACTCTGCTCATTTTTATTTTTTAAATGTAGAAAGTGTGTTAATTTGTGCAATGATAACCTACCAGCAATGTTAAGATGATTTTTAAAAATATATTAGTATAAGTACATTAGAATATAAATTTATTAGAACTAGTACATTATTATTTATGGGCTTAAAAACAAGATGCAAACAATCAGAATATTGTACCTGGTGGGGAGTGCACAATTTAAACATGAAACATATGCCATTACCTATATTGTACTGTGGTACAGTTATGGAGGCCATTCATAATGCAGAGGTCAACTGCCTGCTCTGCCAATAGCTAAAAATGGCCCTGTAGTATGCAGTGTTTAATAAATGGTTGTTTTACTAAATTCTGCTGAGGTGAAATTCAGTGCAGTCCCGTATCATGGCCTATGTATCGTGATATGTATCGTATCGTGACTTTGCTGGTGATACACAGCCATAATTGTGTATATTATTACTGTTCTTGTATTTTGTATTGTATTTTATACTGTTTTATGCATGCTTATGATAGAATCCTTAGTTAAAGGGGTCATATGATGCGATTTCAATTTTTCCTTTCTCTTTGGAGTGTTACAAGCTCTTGGTGCATGAATAAGATCTGTAAAGTTGCAAAGACTAAAGTCTCAAATCCAAAGAGATTTTCCCACTCGTAATAATGACTTCGTGGTGGCGTTCATGTGCTTTCAAGCTTTAAAAAAAAACGATCTAGCCGACATGACTTGAACACACCATGACTACAAGGACACACCAGACGGGAAACAACTAAAAAGTCCACAGAAAAACATGGAATGCTGGCCAAATCATGACAGTAGTAATAATTATAGATGAACATTTACTTGACTGAAGCAGGTTGGGTTTTCAAGATTTTCCATACATCATAAAAAAGGTTGTAGCACCTGGACAAATCAGACACAATTATTTGTTATATTCAACAAATAATCCCTAACACCCCTCACCCAACCAACAAGCCAATAATGAGGGTCTATGGAGCCTTCCCCCGAAATGTAACTAACACCTCAAAAAGGCAGAACAGGCCTCTGGTTCCATTGCAACGAAAGACAAATAATCTGATAACACTGGTTTTATTGCTCAAAGGAATGCAGGCAGTGCCGCTCTCACTCATTTTCCTCATAGGAAAGACCCATAATGCCCATAGAAATGGACTCTTCTCCTAATTAATTCATAGACAAACCTTTCTTTGAATGAACACACATATATATCCTCAGGTCCGTGTGTATATAATTGCTGTTCTTGTATATTGTCTTTTTTGTATTGTATACTGTTTTAGGCATGCTTATGATAGAATCCTTAGTTAATATGATCTCACCTATAGCATGTTTGGTATCTACGAATTTGTATTTTCATGATCTAAATGAGTGTATTTTTATGTTGATACCAATGCAACATATTAGTGTTCTAAGAATCTTTAATAGTTTAGCATCAACACCCAATACAGTTACATATGCAAAACACCATGCTCGAAGACAAATAGTCGTAAACTTTCCCTCCAAATGTTCAAGACACCATTGGCTCTTTGATCCTGCAGAGGTGTGACCCCCACAGAACTTAAAAGGCCTCACATCAGTGACCCGCCTAGCTTTTGGTTTTTGTCTCTTGTCTCTCTCTCTCATCACCTTCCCGTCTTCCGCCGTGCCTGGCAGGCCTAGACTACAGCCTTGCCTTCACTTTCCATCTGGGAGAAAACTCTCGCGACAACCACAAAGTCAGAGTAACATCTTTGAAGTTCATCACCCTTCAAAAATATGCTTTGTCTACATTGATGACATCATTATTTATTCTCCCTCTGTGGCCCAGCATTTCTGTGACCTTCAAACTGTCCTCCACAGGCTTGAAAAAGTGCAAGTTTTGTCTTTCAGAAATCACTTTTCTTGGTCATGTGGTGAGCACTAAAGGCATTACAGCCAATCAAAGCAAAGTTGAGGCCATTCACACCTTTCCTGCCCCCAGAAACTTTAAGTAAGTTCAGCAATTCTTGGGATTAGCCGGCTGGTACCACTTATCTTCAAGTCCCTTTCATCGTACATACAGATGCCAGTGACACTGGACTGGGTGCTATTCTCACGCAGCGGAAAGATCCCAGCAGGGAGGAGGTTATCGCTTATGCCAGCAGAACCTTAACTGGGACAGAAATCAACTATACGGCTACAGAAAAAGAGTGTCTGGCAGTCGTATGGGCCTTGGAAAAGTGGCAACATTACCTTGAGCACAAACTTCATGGTTGTCACAGACCATTCTGCTCTGCAATGGGTTATGGGATCCACCAAAACCGTTTAAACCCAAGAAGTCATGACAAAGAAATCAATTTGTGTTCTCGCACTGTCGCTCTGTGTGCAGACTTTGGGGGGGGGTACACAGAAAAAGGCATACTGGTACAGAATGAGTTCTCTTACGTGTCATACTGCATTTAAATGGTTTAAAAATGGTTGAACCTTTAAAGTGAATGTTTAAACAAGACTTAAAAACACATTCAAATAACAAACTTTCGTGATGACACAGGAGCAGCACTGGCCTGATTGGTCCTCACTGTTGAGCCCTGCCATGATATCAGCGTCTCAGAACAGCTCGATTCACAGTAAATGACCCATGCTCTTCTTAGACACTGAATCACTCTATCATGAACTACCGTACTTCACCCTGAAACCAGTAAAGCATATATTTAATAAAATCGCATTAATTCATGTCTCAATATCAATTTTATTTTTATATATTGTGCAGCCCTACAGCCCACTCAACTAACACTGATAAATGTACTAAAGCACACCAAAACAAGGGATTCAAACTTTTCTGTATTGTGTGTTTTGGTACTGCAATTATTATCTAAATTTCAGCTGTCCTCCTTATCTTTTTCATTCATCTCCTTTCCTGTTTGCTTGTAATCTGCATAACATGGCTTTGTATGTATGGGAATGGCATTTTACTGCGTGATAAATATAAGCAGCAGGGCACAGCGGTTTATATGCTCATTGTCGCCAAATTATGACCAGAAATTCCAGAAAACCAGAAATATGACCAAAAAATAAAGAAACCGTGTAGGAGAATGGTTATTATGCACAAACAGCGGGAAACTCTCTATTCGTGCAATGTGCACGTCAAAAAATCAATTCCGATTTCAAGCTTGTGACATATTAAATGCGCACATCAACGTGATGTTTGGCGTTCATGTAACACTACACTACATTCAGATTCATCAATCGGTATGAATTCAGTCCGATTGAAACAAAAGTTGTGCATGTAAACATTTTGTGTTCATCACTTGACCCTCCCATGAAAGTAATGTAGGGTGTAACAAAATGAGAGGGGAAGGTCTTGACAACCAGTGCATGCTTCTAGCTTGTTTCCTAATTTAGTTTTCTAATAAATCTGGCATTACATAATACAAATATTGTTGGCTCTGTAATGGATTGCTTTTCTTCCTCCATTTGAAGTGGCTGCTAAATGTGCCTGCTAAATGCATATATGTAAAAGTAAAACTCAAAAAAGTGGTCACCGCATGTATTTGAGATGCATGATAATACTATGTGGAAACGGGGCCAGAAATGAGAACTATAATTATCAATAGAGAAGTTTATTCATTTGCATTCTTCTTGCAAAATAGCACCATCTCTCATCATTCTACTTTTTGTTCTGTTTTTCAGATTGTTCACTCATCTGATGGGGTTCACGTCAATAGGGAGTTGAATGTTCCTGTTTCCGGTAATTTCCCTGCAGATGGTTACCTTACATTTCTTTGGTAGACATCACTGAAAGATTTATGAAACATTCTCTGCAAACTGCTCTGTGGGCAGATGACATCATATGTTACAGCAAATTTCTAACATACCAAAGGCCAGCTTTCCTTTTTCATTGAAGCACACAATCTCTTTGAAACATTTTCAAATTGTGTTGGGATAACATATATCATCAGGTTTTGCCCATTAAGCAAAAAATGCATACTAAGAAATCCATGGTATACTGTTAATCAGCACAAATGTATTAAATTGATCAATTGTGACATTAAAGACTTTTGCACCAATAAGAATTACATTAAACAAAGTTTAGAGCTAATCAAGGATTTGTTGATCTAGGTTTTATTTTAAATTGAGTTGTGTTGCACCACTTAATTTTAAACACAGATTAACAAATCAGGGATTAGAATTTTAACCTGGGATAAAAACCTCCATCTATGATTAATTTTCTCCGCCATGATGAATTCGCCATTTTAATTAAACGGCAGCTAGACCGGAGCAAATTGTGTGCGCACTGTGGCAGTTTGTGACACACAATGCTAAACCAGCTCATTCTCCCTAATGGAAAGCATATTTACACTGTCTGAATCGTTCCCTATCCCCTATAGTGCACTATGTGCCATTCACCATATAGAAAATACTAATTCGAACAAGTGACCGATTTCAGCCACAGCTTCAGCAACTATTTATAGGACAGAAAATCTGATGAGAAGCTGAAGTGCAGGGTGATGTCATCAAAATTGTTGATTCACTGATCTATAATAGAGAACTGGATTGCTCATGATGTCATGAAAGTGAAGCCACCGTGCTGCCATATTGGTATTCCCTAGTACAGTGGCCATTTCTTAATACCAAGTACGCAAAGTTCGTACGCAAGTCCGGTAATCCTGCAAATGGAACAGCAGCGTACTTGATAACATCTCTTAGCTCGCCTTGGCTACTCCGGTTATCCTGACTGTATGTATATTTACAATAAGACGAAATATGATATCAAACACCACTGCCTCATTTAGTTTTTAATTTAAACATTAATAGCCACAAAAATGTAGTTCAGGGAATACTTTGATTATCTTCTCTCACTGTATGTATACTCAAAACAAAACTAAATATAAAACACAACCACATATAAAATATGAACACACACACAAATACATAAAACATTAATATGTGGTTCAGGCAGTATGTGCATATATATACTCTGATTCTCTTCACTGTATGTATAAATGTATGACATAAAACACTACGCTGCCTCTTTTTAAATGTCAGTTTTAATGAACAATAATAGCCATTAAACATGTATAAGTATGAAATATCAGAGGCTTATTTAATAGGAAATATAGACAAAAGCAGGCAATTCTGTCAAACATATACTACATCAGTGCTGTACGACGGTAAAGATAAATATATAAATTATGAAACTAAACTTTGTGCTCAGCCAAAACGATATGACCAGGAACAAATAATAGATTCATAAGACCAAAGATACCTGTTAGATATACCTAAAACAAATTATACCTCATGTTTAACCACTACAGAGACATCAGAGCCAGCGGCAAATGCCAGAATGACTAGCCGAGGTAAGGCTGCTCTTGGCGGGATACATGAGCACTGAGTGCCCAGTGATCGTCTGGAGCTCACATCTCCGAGATTGGCATAGCAAATTTTCAAATAGGCACTATCTTTATAAATAAACTGCCGAGTTTTAAACAATTACATTTTCACCTGAAGAACTCTTAAAAATACATTTCATGACACAATAACAATAATATTTAGAAAACTATGCAAGTTTTCTCTTCCGGAGAAAAAGGTGCGGAGCAAGAACAATCCGGGGATTTGAACTGTATATGGCTAGATGTGAACTTTAAATTGGAACAGTACTTGGGCAACGACTGATGACGTTTCACAAGTCCACAAGAATGCAAGTACAGACAAGAACGCATATTGAAAAACGGCTAGTGTTTCCCAAACACTGGCAGGTTGTTAGGTGTGGTGTGGAAAATTATCAAAACTTTCTAGGTCTTATTATATTTCGTTATTATTATTATTTTAAATCAATGCTATTGGTCATCTTTACGTCTGTTTGTGGGTTTTCTTTACTCAAGAAACAGTCTATAAAGGCTAATATTTTTTGTGTATTTGAAGAGCGGAGAAGAGTCTTAGCATTTGCCATATAGGTGTAGCTAATATACTGTTTTATATATCCTGTGCATTGCGCTTCATGTTTATATCACAAGATTGTAGCCAAATGTATTCAACAACAAAAAACCTGAGCGCCCATATAGCTACAACAAACTTTATAACCTGTAAGTTGATGAAAATGTAATGATGCCTCGGATGCGGCCGTTAATGATGGACAAAACACATATTGCCATCATTCGCTGATCAAAAACTTTGTAACTACATTTGAACTTGATTTTCATAAAATGTTAATATTATACTGACACATGCAAGTGTCTGATCATATATAAAGCCACAATACCAACTCTGACAATGCTATTTAATTATTTTCGCCCGACAGTGAGGATAAGTAAATGTTTTGTTTTATCATCACGAACAACATAAGACTACCTGTGACTTTGTGTTCATACCTGACTTAAGCTGAAGTTTCACATTACATCTACATTTACATTTTAGTCATTTAGCAGACGCTTTTATCCAAAGCGACTTACAAATGAGGACAATGGAAGCAATCAAAATCAACAAAAGAGCAATGATCATACAAGTGCTATAACAAGTCTCAGTTAGCTTAACGCAGTACACGTAGCAAGGGTTTTTTAAATAATATAATAAAAAAAAAAAAAACAGATAGAATAGAAAAAGAATATTAAATGAGTACTACTTTTAATATAATATCCAGTTTTAATTTGACATTTGAAGCAATGCGTGTTTGTGCAATTTTGCTATATTTCAGTATGTAGTGGAGTGCTGTGGGATTTTTTTACTGATCAAAACTGTGCCGTGGTTTAAAAAAAGGTTGGGAAACACTGCCCTAGTATTCCCATACATTTTATTGAATGAATAGGAAATTGTACAATTTTAATGAGAAAACATCAAGTCAGCATTTTTATATCTGAAGTATCCCTGTACATTCTTACAATGCAAACGTCCTAAGCATGTAAACGGTTTTTGTTTAATGTCGGGAATTTCCCCTGCTTATTAAAAAGTGACGTTCATATACATTACAGTAGCGTACATCAGATTAACATGATATACATCGGAAGCTCAACATATGTATTACAAATGACAAAGTGCTTATTCTGAAATCTGAGTAAATATTTATGCTATGTATACACGTATACCTTAATTGGCCTTGTACAGTTATTCATTGTTTAATTTTGTTAGTGTTTTTATTCGTACAGTAGGCTAACTGTAAATGTTTCAACAATGATTTCATTAACAGCATTCATTTTGAAGTTAATGATTTAATAGTTGGTTAAATTAATAATTAATTCAACATATTTACATAACATTTTACTCCTATGGAAACGGTAATGCTAGTAAAACGGCATAGAATTTGCGCAATCTTTCAGAGTCTGAAATAGATGTTGCTCAATCAGCACATTAAAAATGGATCACACTGGCACTCACCTTATCACTGCTGCCACTAAATTGCAAATATATTCTTTTCTTTGTCCGATACTGAGATACAACAAGATGAGTAAGCTTACGGGCAGCCACAACCCTCATATTCTGACCGCTTAATGCACTTTAATTTTCATTTTTATTTGTAAAAAGTATCTCCCTGAGACCTGACAACATACTCACTGTTTCTGTCTTTGTCCAATCAGCCACGTATTGTGATTTGTAGGTGCACTTTATTTCATTTAAACCTCTTCACCTGTGAATTTAAAGTTAATCCCTAATTGAGATTTAGATCTGAGTTTAAAGTTATGGAGCAACAGGATTAAAGTTAATCTATCTTAAATATACTTTAAATCCAGGATCAAAATTATGGTTTAATTTAAACCTTATTTTTAAACAAGGTTTAAAGTTGGTGCAACAGGTTTATTAGATAAACCATGATTTAATCTAGATTTAAGCTTAGTCCTTATTGGTGCAAATGCTTCTTGCCTTGCTTACTTGGTGTTTAAAAGACACTAAATATTCAGTATTATTATTATCGATTTGACTGCATTGACACTATCGGATGAGGACACAATGACGACTTAATTTACATTTTAAATCCCTCTGGGCCTCCTCAGTCAGAAATGACAAAAACTTTCCATTTTGAAATGTAATTTTTTTTTTTTTTTGCTTCATCAGAATTGGATGACACTTATGCCGCTTTTCCACTGCGTGGTACGACTCGGCTCGGTACGGCTCAGTACGGTACGGCACGGCTCTGAACCGTACCGAGCCATACCGTGCCGTACCATGCAGTGGAAAAGCGCCATTAGTGACTTTTGTTGCATTAGCTATTTGAACACACACACACAAATCATGGACATGAGATTCAGATATGTTAAAGGGTCATAAAAAAAAGTCACACTTGTAAGTCTGTGTGTGACTTTAGCATATTACCACACACTATGTAAGGATTATATAAACCCAAATGAAAGCATCTCAGGGTATTTATGAAAATAGAAACTTAATTAAGTTCATTAATAAACACACAATAAATGCACTAATACTTTAATTAGAAAATAGGTCACTTTCTAATCTCTCAAATATTTCAGTTGTATTGAGAATTCAACATTCAAGATGACTTTGGGAAACGAGTGAATGTAACTAGTGAAAGATAACTGCAGACATGGAGGAAATTAGTGAAAAAGTAAATTGTTTTATTTGCCTTGAAAGTAGCTGTAATTTAATAAAACCTAGTAAGTATAACAACTAAGTAAAGATAACTAACTAAATCTAAGTAAGGTAAACTATTGGATTTTACAGTGTGGCTCCTTCCCGGTCAAAAATTACAGATATAGGAAATGAATGGGAAATATGAAAAAATACTCCGAGAATCTTTTAGTTGTACAAACTAGAGGTCTTCACGGGTCCACTTGGATCTGAAAACCCGAGGTCCGACCCGAGACCCGAGCGGGTTCGGGTCCAAAACTTCGAGGAGTACCTCAGACACGGGATGGGTTCGGTATTAGCAGCCTCGGGTAATTTAAAATAAACATGCTTTTTTCCAAATGGACCCAATTAGACCCGAATTCTTTTAAACTATCCCGAATGCATAGGTTACTTTCACTTTCACTTTAAGTGAGGAACGCACATAGAAAAGGAGCATATGTTTGTAACCTCGCACACAGAAATCATCTTATAGATATGAGATCCATCAGGAAAATCCACTCGCGTCATTATGCTGCGTGTTCATGCAGGGCTTTTCTTTTTTGTGTGCAGAAGACTTTCGCCAGAGATCAGGTTGCAAACAACATTAGCGAATCCATGAATTATTAGGCTATCGATTTATTTTTTATCTAACTATTATGTTTATTTTTCAAATCCACAGGTCACAATTGAAAGCCGAGCTCAGAAATAACTTGTATCCATCAGGCAGGCACTAATATAAAGTTGCCTAATAATAAAAAGTGGATCCCATTGCAAGAAACAAAAATAATCCACGTCTAGGCACTCACATAGCAGGCAAAATATAAAAAGCCTTTATTGTAAGACAGGGCTACATGTTAAAAAACACCAACGCGTATCAGCCCAAACAGGCCTTCATCAGGGTGTTAGGCAATAGAGAATGAGAACTAGTTAAATATATGCACCTGTGACTACTAGATGTCTCTTAGGAGTTTAAAAACATTCTCTGAATAAATACATCTGTGACTATACATTTTCAGAATCTGATCACTAGATGTCTCTTGGGTATTTACAAATATCAAACCATCCCAAAGAAAAAAGAAAAACATTTTATACAGGCCAAGCATGGTAGTGATAGTAATTTGAAAGTCATTGGAATTGAACATGTGTCATTAAACATCGGAGGTGCAGATAGACTTAGACGGTTAAAACAACGAGAAACGTATTGGATACATAAATTGGATGCTCTCTTATATCCTGGTCTTAATGAAGATATTGATTTTTCTTTATTTTTGCAATAGTTATATCTGTTGTAGGTGCTTTCTATTGGTATTTGTTCAACTGAAAAAATTTTTTTCCACTGTCATGTCTTTTTGACATGTGAAGGCAGTGAAGGCAGTCCGCGAGTGGAGAAGGGCGAGACTCATGCTTTCAATGAGAGCATTCTGTCTCAGTGAGCGAGCAGTCTGTGCGTGGGGGCTGCCCAGACAGGTGACGCACTCACTGCCCTTCTGCATCGTGTAAGATTCCCTGCACGAGACACACTTGCAGCGCGACATTTGCAACAACATCGCTAGAATTTGCTTTTTTAGGGCTTACCTGCTAGAAATAAGCTCTTTCAGTATCGCCGGATGGCGGCAGGGGAACAGGACCGGAACTGCTGCGATGCTGAGACGCAAAGAGAGCCGGTCAGCCGAGCAGGGAGGTCTCAATCCAGCTGCGAGGCGTGTCAACGGCGAGCAAAAAAGGCTTCAGTTCAGGAGAAAAAAAGGCTTTTTCCCATATGCGTCTAGCAAGACGCAGTACCGATCGAATAGTAGTATCGAAAGGGAACAACTTTTTGATAAGTTTTTGCATGTCAAATTAATAATTTAGACACAATGTAGTAAAAAATGGACAGCAAGAAAGGGATTACACTCTAAAACATCAAGAGTACAAAACAGACACACAACACAGTATTGTACACACACAGATGAACTGGTGTGGCTGTAACATTATGACAAAATTGATACAGAAGACACAACACAAATAAGAGGTTGAAATCAGATCAGACCCAGACTGATTAAGCTCAAATAAAGCATTCCTAATCATTATTGTTACATTTTTATTGAATCTGATGTTATGTCCTTCTCTGTGTTCAGGTTTGACTGTAGTAAAATTAATGCAAAACTTCAAAAAAAAAAAAAAAATAAAATCTTAACCTTAACAAAAGGTTGTCTTTGAGAATGTCTAAATACATATCCAAATCCAGAACATAATGAAAATAAGTATTTATGTCAAAAACAACTAGAGAATTTTTTGCCTCTCTATATAGAGCTATATAGGAATCTAGTGGTCGCACCATGTTATTTCATATGTTTTTCTTTTTTTACTCCCACCAGATGGCATTAATCTGCCTTCAAAAATTTCGATTTTAAAGGCCTGGTCTTTATTTTAACATGGAATACTGCTTTGATCGAAAAATAATAAAAAACTATTATTTTCAATGGGGAAAATGATCATAATTATTGCATAACTATTACTTAGTATCGTAAAAGTAATATATTATTGAACAAAAACTTATTACATTGATTTTACTGAAAATACAAGAAGTTGCATTTCAAGGCTTCAGTCACGAAGAAGCCAAGTGTGACCCCTAAATGAAGAGGGCCAGAGGAATAAGATATTAAAGACAGATAAGATATTAAAACAGAAAAAAGTTATTTTACATTGTAAAAATATTTCAAAATATTACTGTTTTTATTATATTTTTGATCAAATAAATGCAGCCCAGCTGAGCATAAAATACTTGTTTGTAATGAAGAAATAGAAGGTTTTTGAAATGTGGCATCAGACTATTGGACTGTATATTTGTAAAATTATTCATTATTAATTCGTCCTCAGATGCTTAAATGGAATGGACACCCTAATTTTGTGTTTTTCTCTAGAGGAAACTGAGAAATTTGAATTCTGTCGGAGGGGAGTTGATTCAGAAGAATCTGAGCATCAGGAAAAGGTTGGCCACACACCACTCTTTACTTTTGGGGTATTACAACAGTGTTCCCCTGCTGAGACAAAGTCATAAAAAATTTAATGTAATAAAGACATCAGGTAAGTATTTAGGATGGCATGTTGTCATAGTGTTTTATTCTCAACTTTTCTGCTTTCAGTTGACCTGTTGGCCTTTAAAATTAAAGGCACATGTCAGTCAGTTTGAGGTTGATGCTTCTTGTAACATATTTATGTAGTACATTTTATCCATAAAAGCTGTCTTCTAATTTATAATTGCTAATTTGTCATTGTTCACTCTTGCAAGTGCCACATTCATTGATGTGTTCTGTCTTCGCTGGGCTCAGGTGGACTTCACAGTTCCAAGGCAGATTCTGTCCTGTACCCAGCCAGATGGATACAGAAAAGTAGAGGAAAAAGATGAGAGAGAAGAAGAGCAAACTAACAGATCACCAGGAATTCATGTTATCCATAGAGACAGGAGACAGGGTGCTGGGTAAGCAATGCTCTCACATAGAATAAATGGGCGAGTGGGAAAAAGAGAAAACACACACATAAACAGTTAAAATAGATTTAATTACAATATAATTCATGAAGTGACTTTACTTGTGAATGTGTGTTTGTTCCTTCAGGAACATTTTTATATACAATGAACATTTTTGTAGGCCTTTAAACAGATCTTACAGAAAGCGCTATCTATATTTGGATTCATTGGCTTGTTAAAGAGCATACAAAACTGTCCCCGCAGATCCTTGAAAATCTTACAAATATATTCAATTTGATTTTTTTAATTTAAGGTCATAACAAGTCTTAAAAGTCTTATTTTTACTTATGAGAGGTCTTAAATTTTAGATGACACTTAGACTTAGGATGTATTCACACCAGGAAAGTCCACTAGTTCATTTGCTTTGGTCTGGACCAAATACAATGTTTATTTTTTTTGTTTGGTGCGGTTCGCTTTCACACTGCCCTTTTTGCAAGTGAACCAGAAACTGTAAACAAAACCACACGTGTGCTTAAGGTCATCCATTCATTGGTTTATCCATTCAACCGTACCAGTGTTCGTTTGGAAGCGGACCGAGACCACCTGTTCAGCTGGGTTTCAGTACGGTTGTTTGGTCCACACCCGAGTGCGATTACTGTATTCACACCTGCCCAAAAGATCCGCAGCAAGGGGGGAAACGAACTTGAGTTCAATTCAATCGAACCAAACAAGACAGGTGTGAATACACCCTTAGACATATCTAAATACTTTACTAATTTAAAGCTAATTACTGCTGTATGATTTTTATTATTCTTTCTTTGTGGATTTGTTTCTGCACTTGATGATTTGTAGTGTTAAAATTGATTTCATAAAATTGGTATCGAAAAAAGTATCGTTCAGGAACCGGTATCGAAGTCAAGGTATCGGTATCGATATCGAAAAATTTTGAACGATACCCAGCCCTATTTATGACAGCATATTATGTACTGTCTTCTGCACGTGAAAGAGAGAAGGAGAAGAAAATGGGTAAATGTAAGTTCAGTTGTAGGTTTATTCTTTATGTGCATAGGGGTGTGCGATCATCTATGATGATATCGTAATTATTATTATTAAACTCAAGGTGATATCGGGTTCAAGATATGGGGCATTTTTGGCCCGATGAGTTTTTATGTTTATCTTATATTTATATCATATGATAGTTACATCACAATATTACACAAGCAGAGTGACACTTTTCCTAAATATCAATGTGATATTTATTTTATACAACAGTTAAATAAACAAGAGGTTAGCACTGTGAGTTACATTTTAGACTCAATGTCAATATTGTTAGTGCTTGGTAAAAAAGTTAATGTCTGTCACTGCTGTGAACTGACCACCACAAAGAATAGGAATAATATGAAAGTCTTTGTGAGTCAGCTGTCCACAACAAGACTAAACCAGAACAAAAACACACTCAGCAAAATATCATCTAATTATTATCAGCAAAATATTTGAAAATGTCGAGATATGTTTTTTGTCAATATTGCACACCCCTAATATACACATTGCACAGGATTAATTTTTATTTCTTCAGGTCTTAAAAAGGTCTTTAAAAGCTTTAAATTTGACTTTAAAATGTGCAGCAACCCTGACTAAACATAATTGTCTTTATGAATGAGTCATCATTAAACCATTCATTCAACAAATACACTTAAAAACGCTGATTCATTCATGTATGAAACAAGTTGCTGAAATTAATTTAACTTTGAGCGCCACTTTACAAGGCTCAGTCAATGAGAAACGCGTCACTTGGCTAACGCTGAAGCTGATATTTCACTTCAGAGAGATCAATGGCATTGATTCAGTGCATTCTGACAACTGCATTTTCTCTTTCAGTTGTTTACATTAACTGAAGATAACACTGTGTTTACATGAATACTCACTAAGACAGGCATTTTGACATAATTTTGTATGTATCAGAACATTTACACAATAAGCCTCGAAAAATAACTCAATTCTGTACTCGCGCGCTGTCTGAGAAGCTGCTTTATGTGTGCACATTTTGGGTGCGTGCTTACAGTAGACCATCTCAGAAAGTGCACGAGTACTGAACTGAGTACTCTTTTGCTGCTTATTACATTTGAATGGTTTAAAAAACATGAATGTTTAAACTGGCAAGACTTAAAAACATGTGCAGATACATTTTGTCAACTGTCTAGCTATTGGCAGAGTCTTTCTTCAACTTAGGTGAATATCAGGCAAATCCTTAAACTGGTTATGCTTAAAGGAATAGCACAACCAAAAATGATTCCGGAGTATTTACTCACCCCCAAGCCATCCAAGATGTTTATGACTTTGTTCCATTAGCCATAGAGAAATAAGGTTTTGGAGGAAGACATTCCAGGATTTTTCCTTATTTAATGCAAATGAACGGGGCTCACCACAGACCATATTTTTTACTGTAAAAATCAATATTTAAGCTGCTTAAAAGTTGTTTAGGTATTGGGTGTCTAGAATTACTAGAAGGGATCTAGAATTTTGTTGCACATTCATGCAGGGCTTTTCTTTTTTTTGTGTGCAGATGCCCTTCGCCGGAGATGAGGTAGATAGTGTTGCAGACACTAGCGGATCCATGATTTATTAGGCTATCGATTGAATTTTTATCAAGCTATCACGTTTATTTTTTAAATCCACTGGTCACAACTGAAAGCCGAACTCAGAAATATATTGTATCCATCAGGCAGGCAATAATATAAAGTAATAATAAATAAGTTAATAAATAAATGAAAGTAATGGTTCAGCGGCCAAATCAGTCAGAAGGACATTTTTCCTCGCTGAGTGCGGGGCTGCAGGCTGTGCACCCATCAATGCCGTTTACGTTCGGGTCCAGTCGGGTTCAGAAATAAATGTCGTCGAGTTGCGTCAAACTCTGATCTAATTTTATCAGGTCTGTCTCGGGTCAGGTTTTTCTTTTTTAAAAATCATTTATGCATGTTTGGTTCGGGCCAATTTATGGTCGGGTACAAATTTTAGGACCAGAGAAGACCTCTAATCCTTGATGAATGCACATTGCGTACTACTACTACTACTAGGGCTGTGTATCACCAGCAAAGTCACGATACGATACGTATCACGGTACATATGCCACGATACGTATCACTATACGGGACTGCACTGAATTTCACCTCAGCAGAATTTAGTAAAACAACCGTTTATTAAACACTGCACACTATAGGGCCATTTCTAGCTATTGGCAGAGCAGGCAGTTGACCTCTGCATTATGAAGGGCCTCCTTAACTGTACAACAGTAAAATATAGGTAATGGCATATGTTTCATGTTTAAATTGTGCACTCCCCACCAGGTACAATATTCGGATTGTTTGCATCTTGTTTTTAATGCCATAAATAATAATGTACTCATTCTAATACATTTATATTGTAATATACTTATACTAATATCATGGCTTAAAGTTCTCTGGCACTGTGCCGGTGTTCTGTCGATTTGTGCTACCCTGTCAGATTTGGCTACCTCCCATTAAAACAGTGGGTAGTACTATTTGACAATGAAAAATGCTACCTGTAAAATTATAGTTTATTAACGTCTACACCTACCACAACCCTAAACCTACCCTTACAATAATGAAAATACAGTAATTATTACATTTACATTTAGTCATTTAGCAGACGCTTTTATCCAAAGCGATTTACAAATAAGGACAATGGAAGCAATCAAAATCAACAAAAGAGCAATGATATACAAGTGCTGTAACAAGTCTCAGTTAGCTTAACGCAGTACACGTAGCAAGGATTTTTAAATAATATAATAAAAATAGAAAACAGAATAGAAAAAGAATAGAACAAGCTAGTGTTAGAGGTCTTTTTTGCTTTTGTTAATTGTATAATAAATGAAAAGAAAACAGATAGAATACAAAAAGATTAGAAAGCAAGTGTTAGTTTTTAAAGAAAACAAGCAGCAAATGAATAGATTGCAAGTCTAAAAGGGACAAGTGTTTTTTTTTTTAAGAATAGAATTAGAATAGAGAGTGCTAGAGTTAGAGGGTCAAATAAAGATGGAAGAGATGTGTTTTTAGCCGATTCTTGAAGATGGCTAAGGATACATTAAATATTGTTGTTCAGCATGAGAAAAAAGGACGCAATATTGATGTGTGCATGCGCAGTAAACCCTGGTAGGAAAATCTGACGGGTAGGATAAAATGACAGGACACCGGATCTCCGGGGCGCAGCAGCATTTGGCTGCGGAAAAAAATTATCCTACATTAAAAAAAAAACTTGTTGATATCACTTTCGAGTCCATGAGTTCGCCTACCAATGGTATAAGAGGAGCACAGCTTTCGCTCTCAACCAAACTAACATTACTAGCCAATCAGATAGTATCCAATTGCAGATTCGCAGCCCTGATGAATGGAGAAGCGCGACAAAAAACTGCGAGGCACAATGGTCAAAGATGTCCATTCTAGCGCATATTTACATAGAAAAGCTCATTAAAAAGCAGTGGAGCTTTGTAAACAGCTCAGAGTAATCTTGTCATCTCCATAAGAACGATATGATTCCCAGAGCAAATTTACCGGGATTTTCGAAAAGGTCCTGTTCACACATGATCTCTTAATGGTAACTTACCGGTAATTTACCAGTAAAGACTGTAACTTATGTGTGAAAGGGGCTAAACTCTTCCTCTGCATATGCTGTAAATTTGAATTGCTTAACGTTCATCTGGGAAAACAATGTGCATTATCTCACTAGATTTGTAACATAAATAATTTATAAACCTTTGCCAACACAGGAGAATACATCAACCTATGTCTAAATATGCCATGTATTGTACATCGCGATTTCAAAATAAAAGTTTCTGCATGTCCCCAAATATTAACATTTAATGGATTTAAACATTGTTTAAATCACGCTGTAAAGTGAAACGTCACCAGGCCGTTGGCGCCCTCTGCAGGTATTTGTTATAATACATAATGTACTTAAGTTGGTTATGTTCATATTATGTATAGGCATATTACATTATGTATTTTAACAGTGTTGTTCAATAAAACCATGTAATTACTTGGTGTTTATATTCAATTTGAGCCAATTAGGGTAAATTTTGAAAATTTCTTAAAAATGGTATTAAAATATTGTCTCTTTCTAGTGAACCAAGTATCTGTATTTTGTCTCATCTCGTGAGCTAAGTGTATTGTCACACCCCTAGTGGGTGATATAGCTGTGATATTAGCGGTGATATAGCTCTTAATTTTCCAAGTGTATGATATAGCTTTCAAAAAATCATCTTTACATTGCTGGTAGGTTATCATTGCACAAATTAACACAATTTCTACATTTAACATTTAAAAAATAAAAATTAGAAGAGTTCTAAACTAATGCGCTGACTTCACTGTATCGCATGCGCAGATGTTCAGTCACTCACACAGATCACGTTGCGCATGTGCGCACACAGACATTCAGCGAAACAAACTTTTTAGCGCTGCCCCGCAATTTTATCAATAAAATAGCTTAATCGCTCAAGAGCTACATTATCTTTCTCAACAAGGAGCTGGTAACATCATTGTTTTTAGAGGAATTAAAGCCACAGCTTCACTGTTAATAGAGAAACGCGGCAAAACGGTGGTAATTCATACATACACTGCCTCTCTCTCTCATAAATGAACACTTGATGAATTACACTTTTCTGAATAGAATATTGAAGTGGAGATCGCTAAACTGCAAGTTTACCGGTGTTTTCAGAAAGCAAGCACGTTTATCCACAGTGGAGAGAGCGCGTGCACATGGTTGCCAGGTTTACAGAGATATGTAACACACTTAGCAGATATTTCCGTATTGCGCAAGTGTGAAGCTCTGTGTCGGGGATTACATCTCTTTATATCAGGCAACCCCGTTGTGTTCTTCTGCGGCCAGATTAAACCTTGTTGTAGCCTATATATTATGCTCTATTCATTATTTTTTTTAGAAACCTTGCACTTTTCTACTCCATTTTAAACTGTGTTCTTGTATTCAAATTAAGTGCGGTCCACTGCTGCACACGTGCCGCAATATCGATACAGAGACAGCTGTATCAATACTCGTATCGTCAAATCTCTGTGACGATACATCGTCGTCGTATCGATGTATCGAACACAGCACTAACTACTACTACTAAAAGTACTATGAATTAAAGTCGGCATGAAATGGAAGTTGCGATTGTATTTTCTTCTCTGCTGTGACGTATAACCGAGTGAAACGGCATCTGAAATGAGAGGGTGGGACTTGATTTCATCCTTCGGGAATTGATTGGATCGTTGGAAGTTGGGGCGTTGCCAACAAAATGGAGGCAGATCTGAATGCCAGTTTGCAGTTAGTTGTGGGGGATTTCTCTTCACTGGATTCGCCGACACCCTAGCATGAATAAATGTTTTTTTTTATTTTATTGAGGATGATGATGACGATCAACGGCACAAAACATGCGTAAACAGCGCGCGAGAGAGAGAGAGAGAGAGAGAGAGACTGAGAGACTGGCTGAATGACTGAGTGCATCCTCCATCAGGTTAAGTCATATTCATGAAAAATAATAATAATTTGTTTGCGATGTTCTAAGAGTAATGTTGTCGTAATATCCTAATATTTTTTCAATGTTTAAGGGTAACGTACTCCCTTATGACTGGTGTCAGTTCTATAAAGTAAAGCGTCAGCTTCAGCTTTTCCCCCTGTCGTTTATTCCAAACGTCACTGATGTCACTGCAGCTGTTGGCAATTCCAGATAGCTCCACCCTTGCGCCATAGCTCATGACCGGAAGAGTAGAATCGTCGTTTTGAGGGGGAGGGGGGGTAAACGTTTTTGATTAAAGATTACGAGGGCACATGAATTTTTTAAAAATAATGAAGTGCACGGATAAATTATTTATAATAAACACTACAGTATTCCATCAAAAAATAAGAATTGTCAATTTTGATTTCATGCCGACTTTAAATTACAATTAAATTAAATTAGAATGGGTAAATGTCTGTGACCCATTAAAAATACCACAAATGTAGCATCAACAACAGAACATGAAAATTCACACATCATCACATCACATCACATAAAGGAATAAAATAAATAGGCCTAAACAAAATGTATTTCACTTAAGTAATTAACAATTAACAAATTAACAAAGCAAAAAGAAAAACTGTGCAGCAAGTAGTACACTCTAAAAAGATGCTGACTCAAAAAAAAAAAAAAAAGCATTAACTGCTGCATCAATGTTTTCGAGTTATGACAGCTTCTTATGAATTTATGTTCAACCAACAAACTAGAATGGGTTGAAGGAACTTAACCATTTGCAGCATAAACACAAATTATTAAGTTGATTACTCAAATTAAGTTGCTCCAACTAATGAGTTGTGACTCTGGGACCAATTAATTTTCTATTAAAGTTACAAAAAGGATTCAGGCAAGAGCAGTGAGAGAATTTTCTCTCTTTTGTTGTTTGATTACCATTAATGACACAGACAACACCAGGTTTATTGGCTTGTTGTCACTTTAAGATCAAATGCACAAATTTAATATACTGATAGACATGCATTTTCTTTCTCAACTGTTTACATTCACTTAAGACATAAACAATTGTGTTTATGAGGATACTTGCAAAGATGGCAACGCATCTCCACTTCCTTCCACTATAGAAAAGTGAAGCCAAAACATCCCAATATGGTTGCTGTCATCTTGTGCCAATGACGTCATTTGGAGCCCGAGTCTGCACAGTAGTGAGGTGGAACCATGTTATCAAAGTCCCGCCTAAACTCTCGCAGACCCATCACAAGCTCACAATCTTGGCACTTGAACGTACATCAGCATAAGAACTACCTAAAATGATGTAAATCATCTTTGGAAAAATTTTATTTAGAATGTAATTCGATATATTTTTTTTAGTTTGGCTTACATCCCGTTTACATGGAGATGGCAGGGTTGAGGGTTTATGACCTATACTGCAGCCAGCCACCAGATGGCCACCACATTCTGTGTTCCTCATTTTACATCAAATGATTTCTTAAAGTATGGTAATAATATCTTTTTTTATTTGTGTTATGTAGAGGGATTCATAGTATGGGAATAGCTTTGTTAAAGAAAAGACAGAAAATTAATAAAGCATTTGCGTGACCTATTGAAATGCATAATGTTTTATAAGCAAGTTGTAAATTGTTTGTAGAATGTAAATTTGAATTTGTATTTGTGACATATTAGATCAAGTGGTCACAATATTGACATAAAGCATATAAACCCATGTATTATAAAGTAGTCTATCACTTTTAAAGCTAAACATAGAATTCAGTGATGTAAATAATAAATCACTCCTGTTAAATGTGTAATAATATAACATTCAGGATATTACAGGATAGTACAGCAAAAACTAAGCTCAAATACCTGGAATATGTTTTTAAAATTTGTATTATAAAACTACAGCTAAAGAATTTACATTGTGTCGAATCAATTGACTCTTTTATGTGCTGTAAAAATTATTTGATTACTACCTGTACCTGCCATTAAATATCCATTGAAGCTTATATAGCATTAAACTCAAATACAGCCACTCACTCCTGTCACTTAGAGTGTAGTTCAGTGAGACAGAATAACAGCCTAGCAACATCACGAAAAAAGGTGTTTTAGTATTTTATGACCTTTTTCTCTCTTTCCCTCAGGCTCAGAGATAGAGACGGTTCTTTGTCTTTGCATAGCCAGAGGAATAGGGAGGCAGAGCAAGAACTACATGATATGTCAGAGAAACTATCTCGCCGTTTGGAGGAACTTGATCTGGTCAGTAACTCAATTTGTGGGTGTTTCTCCATTGATCTTGTGGTGTTTTTTGTTTATTTGTTTGTTTGTTTTCCAAACACAAAAGGGACAAATACAATAAGCAACGCTATTACATATGTATATTGTTACATGCTTAGTGTCATTAATTTCTTATGGTCAGGGGGCTAACAGCAAATTCATCAGTCATTCCATTGACAGTAATGGTTATAGATCATTAAATGTTAATTTAATATTTATATATGCCAATAATATTGAAAAAATTTTTTTTCTTAATTTGCCCGACATGATTAAAGGGGGTAAGCGATTTTTCAAAAACGCTTTAGAAAACAGATTTGGGCCGAATAGCAAAACAAACTTGTAGCCAATCAGCAGTAAGGGGCATGTCTACTCATGATGTGGAGGAGAGAGCTGTTCAGTGCACAGGACGGACATTAGCCGAGCGACAGAAAGATAGAGATGGCGGATAAAAAAACAAAAGAGGAAAACGTCTGCAGAACAAAATAAGGCAAGAAGTAGGACCCGTGTAAATATCGGATCAGCTTTCCAGCGCTGGAGAGAACTCGAGGAGCGGAAGGCCTGCGATCGGACGCCGAGGTTGCTTTGTTTTTTCTCGATAGGTGAGTAACACCGTGTCTGCGCCGCAACAGCTAAAGTCTGTCTAGTACACTGGATGCGACAAAGCGACCGTTGAAAATCATTTGAAATTTGTGTCAATACGTCATAAATAGAATGCAGCAACAGTTTTCTGTCTGGGATTTGTTGTGTCGTGCCGCGCATCCAGTGTAGACCATAGATATGTATATATATCTATGGTGTAGACAGCATCACTGATTATAATTTGTCTCGCCACGCCACTCGTGTCCGGTGTAGACACGATGTAACATTGGTTTTGCTTTGTTTCACAGAACTATTTGTTGCCTGGGTTGCGTATGAATGTGTGGGGTGGAGCTATCAAAATAGGGGCGAGACCCTTTTGGGGTAGGGGCGTGTTTGTTTTGGTGATTTCAATTGTCAACATTGGCTACCAGAAATCACTTACCCCACCTTTAAATAAGTATATTAGTATCCATTTAAAAGAAACAAATTCATGACTCTTTCAAGATAACATATAGTATAATATTTCTATAAAGACATATTTAGAGTTGTGCTGTGAATAATAAAACAAACACTTATGCATTAATCTGCAACCGATAAGTAATAATACAGATGGCACATTCTCATTTAACCTGTCATCAGCTCAGAAGCACCCGCAGAATTAACTTTTTCTGACATGCCATCTTTAGTAATAATGACACTTTATTCTATGTTTGTTTGTGATGCAGTTTTGCTATATTATAATATGATTCAAGTTATTTTTGCAGACAACAGTAACATGCAAGCATAGTGAACCAACACCTGCTTGTCAAGTATAAGCAGAAAACCAAAAGCTATGTACCCTTTGGATTAATAATATACTTGAGTTTTACTGAGTATCAAAGATATTAGCAACTTTTACTCTCTACTTCACTACATTTTTGAATAAGTCTCTGTACTCTTTACTTCACTACATTTGTAATGAGTGTTGCAATTACACATTACATTTTGCATGGCACCTAGCTTTTTCTGCAGTGATATCGCCAACTACAGGGCACTGAAAGTATTATATCTTGTGCGTTTTTCCCTTACTCACCTAAACTTGTCAACAAGGCTACTTTATGTGAATGTGAGTTCTTTTTTCTTTTCTTTTTTGAGGTGTTCCGTTTTAGAAAATAAACGTTATTGCTCTTCTCACAAATCAACTTTGTTTTTCACTGGCATGTCACTTTGACTAGTGCATCTTTGAGCCTATATTCAGTATGAGTAAAATACTCAAGTACTGTTAAAATCAGATACTCTAAGACTTTTAGTTTCAAGTCGTTTTGGAATTGGTGATTTGTAACTTGTAATAGAGTAGTTTTCACTGTAAGGTATCTGGACTTTTACTCAAGTATGGTTTTCAGGTATTCTTTACACCTCTGCGTTATACCGAAATATATATATATATATCGCATTTGAACACGGCATGCTGCCACGCACAGAATCCAGAACAGTTCTGGAACATTCAGCGTTACTTTTCTCAACAGCTCGGTGCGAAAAGTAATAGTTCTTCTTCTCATTGGTCGCCTTTATTCGGGTTGCCATGCATTGCGCAGCGATTCGTAAATCTGTTCCTGAATATTCTAGAGACTGATTTTGCTTCATGATTACATATTCCATGTTTTATGAGCTGTTAATATGAATGAATGCATAATGACTTTTAATGTTCGGCTACTAATAGTTTTTAGAATGTGATTTTTCTTCAATGAGGGTGACGCTGTAATCCAAGCGATGTGGGATGACTTTTTTCGGGCGGAGCTATCAAAATAGGGGCGAGACCCTTTTGGGGTAGGGGCGTGTTTGTTTTGGTGATTTCAATTGTCAACATTGGCTACCAGAAATCACTTACCCCACCTTTAAATAAGTATATTAGTATCCATTTAAAAGAAACAAATTCATGACTCTTTCAAGATAACATATAGTATAATATTTCTATAAAGACATATTTAGAGTTGTGCTGTGAATAATAAAACAAACACTTATGCATTAATCTGCAACCGATAAGTAATAATACAGATGGCACATTCTCATTTAACCTGTCATCAGCTCAGAAGCACCCGCAGAATTAACTTTTTCTGACATGCCATCTTTAGTAATAATGACACTTTATTCTATGTTTGTTTGTGATGCAGTTTTGCTATATTATAATATGATTCAAGTTATTTTTGCAGACAACAGTAACATGCAAGCATAGTGAACCAACACCTGCTTGTCAAGTATAAGCAGAAAACCAAAAGCTATGTACCCTTTGGATTAATAATATACTTGAGTTTTACTGAGTATCAAAGATATTAGCAACTTTTACTCTCTACTTCACTACATTTTTGAATAAGTCTCTGTACTCTTTACTTCACTACATTTGTAATGAGTGTTGCAATTACACATTACATTTTGCATGGCACCTAGCTTTTTCTGCAGTGATATCGCCAACTACAGGGCACTGAAAGTATTATATCTTGTGCGTTTTTCCCTTACTCACCTAAACTTGTCAACAAGGCTACTTTATGTGAATGTGAGTTCTTTTTTCTTTTCTTTTTTGAGGTGTTCCGTTTTAGAAAATAAACGTTATTGCTCTTCTCACAAATCAACTTTGTTTTTCACTGGCATGTCACTTTGACTAGTGCATCTTTGAGCCTATATTCAGTATGAGTAAAATACTCAAGTACTGTTAAAATCAGATACTCTAAGACTTTTACTCAAGTTGTCTTGAAATTGGTGACTTGTAACTTGTATTGGCGTAATGATTACTGTAAGGTATCTGTACTTTTAATCAAGTATGGTGATGGGGGGGCGATATCGAATTTTTCAAGGGCGTAAACGATTGTATATTGTGCGGTTTTTCACACATACACACAATATTCATATCGTATGATAGACCTTCTCATTCCGAACAACTTTGCCTGTAGTACCACTGCTGTCAAGCAAGTCATTTGTTAAATAATTTAGAATATGTCAAAAAAAAAAAAAATATTGGAGGGGTAGTGCATTCCACAATCTGGGAGCAACTACTGAAAAGGCCCGGTCAACCCTACTTTTCAGCTTTGATTTCGGAATACGTAGCAATCTCTGATGAGATGATGGTAAGCCAGGTTTCCGTAATACATAAGCAGTCCAACTCACGCAAGGTAAAAAAGTCATTTATAATAAAAGTCTTATTTACCACCGATCTTGAATTTAGTAGACCCATCCTTAACCGAAGCGGATTGTCCGTTAGCTCCTTTGACTGCCGCACCTGAGGAAACGTGCGCACCAAGAGCTTGTAACACTCCAAAAAGAAAGGAAAAATTGAAATCGCTTCATATGACCCCTTTAAAGCGATTGAACCCAGATAATTGCTGCTTGCAGCTATATATATTTTTTTTTTGTCCATTTCAGTCTTTTTGTTGTTGTTGTTGTGTGGAAATGTCTAATTTTGTATTACATTTTGCATTACGCAAGCTTGGAGCAACATTGAGACAAGTAAATGATAATGAATTTCAGACTCTAGTGTTCTAGTGCTGCTATGCTGCATGTATACTGTACAATAAATATGTTCGTTAAGTTGGCTTTGTGGTGCAGATGTTGAAGCGTGCTCTGAGTGAAATTGGGGAGATGTGTGAGCCAGGAGAGGAAGATAAACAGTCTCATCATAGCGACAGCATCATGGAGTGTGTCATAAGTATGTCAAGTATGTCCTCACACACCACTGCCAACAAGTGACTGTACACCAGACAACTAAACAGGCTTGTGTTTTTATCCAGGTTCATGCCATTCCAGAGCTCATGCACACTCATTGCCCCCCTTCCCTTCACCTGTACAGCACTCTATCCAGCAAGATGCTCTGATCAGAGACTCATGCAATGCCAGTCATAGCCAGCAACAGCACAGAAACACCCAGGTACATCCCACACACCACACCAAAATCAGAATCAGAATTAGCTTTATTCGCCAAGTGTATGCAAACACACAAGGAATTTGTTGTGGTTTTTTAGAAGCTCTTGATCTGCATACACTTTTAAACATTCATATCCCAACAGCCTGATCATGTGGACTGTGTTTTTGATTTTGTGTGCGTGTGTGTGTAGTTCACAGAATCAGATAAACTGAAGCAATTAGTGCAGCAGGAGCAAACAGATATGACCACTGAGAGACTCAATGCTCAGAAAACGGTCAGTGATGTTTATCTCTCATTTTTGGTGGATTATGTTTTATGATGCAAGCAAGAGTTATTTTGTATTGTGTCTTTATAATGATATTACAGTGCTTTGTAATGTGTTTGTACTGTATTGAAATTCCTCATTTTAATTATTCTCTACAGTTTAATTCAAAATACAGTACTATGCCAAATTTTTAAGGCCCTTTCACACATTCAGATGTCAGATTCCAGAATATTTGTTCCAGTAATTGTTTTGAGATTGTTTGATTTTTTTTATTTACACTGCCAGAGCTTCCTTGTGCTCTGTACTGTCCTTCATCATTAATCTTGTGGTTTATTATATCATCTGCATGGATGGTAAGTCCTGTTGGCTTCCATAGTATTTTTGTTTGTTTGTTTGTTTGTTTTGAATGTGACAGTATGTCCTTCGACCACGAATAAGAGGTGAGTTTCATGGTCATGGGCTCGGGCTGAGTGAGGGGAGCACCATGCCCAGGTGAGCTCGTCATGTAGCTCGAGAAAGAATAGCACCGGGGGGGCTGATTGGTGGCCCACATGCAGATAGGAGCCATCCATCCACTTCTTCGTAGGCTGTTTTGGGGCTGACCATTCCAGGCCCATCTCAGCCACGGCATCCGAGAGGATATTCAGAATTTCCTCATCAAGAGGGGTCACTGGAGGAGCACTCTCATCCATTGGAGCCTCTGACCAAGCACCTGGGTCAGAGGTAGTGGATGACATGGCATCCTCCTCCCTGGTTCCAAAGGAGATTGAGGGAGCCTCCCTGCTCACAGCTCGACGGCGACTGGAGGGTGAGGCACAACAGTGGGTGAAGACTGCAGCAAGTCTTGCATGGAGAGTCTTGATCGGCAGATCCCCACAGAAACGACAATCAGATTTCTCCATCGCTGCCTCGGCATGGACGTGGCCCAAGCACAGAACACACTCCTCATGCGAGTCTGGTAGCTCGATGGGCCCACCACACTAATTGAGGGCCATTGGCTATTGCAGGTGCAATAGCATGATTCAATCAGGCTTCAGCATTTTCGGAGAAAGGGAGTTTTCACAATGTTGAGAGTCCGACCTCAAAAGGGAACACCAAAAGCTAATAATCAAGAGGAAAAAAATTTAGCAAACTGAAAAGACCAAGCGTGGTGTTATTCTTCTGTTGTCTGAAAAAAGAACATGAAGGAAATTTTACAGCTCATTCAGTCAAACTGACATTTTCTGTAGTGCAATTTTGATTTAAATGTATTTGTTTTCGTCTTTTTGAGTCCAGCTTACCTAAACCAGAAGTGCCTACCATAATAATTTAAAATGCATTAAGCTCATTAGGAAAGTGGTGGCTACATAACAAATATGGCATTGTGCTGTTTTTTTTTAAATCTGATATGCAAGTGAGTGCTGAGTGTCATGATAATTTAAAGCATCTCGTTCATTTAAACAAAGCCAAACCTGAAAACTTTAAGAATACTCAAAGATGTACAAATGTTTTTATTATTAATGTTTTATGTTGTTACTGTTTTATGTGTTTGTGTAGGAGCTTGAATACCACCAGGCAGTGTGTAGAAAAGCTCCTTCTGTTCACAGATCCTGCACCAAGTCACCTTGCTCTCGATCCTCCGGAACTAAACTCCAACACACAGCCAGAAAAGAGATACATTCTGGTAAGACAGCAACCAGTGACAGAGCGCACACACACACACACACACAAACTGGCATATACTGCATGGTGTACAGGGACTCTTCTATAAGGTAAATAGGTAAATTTAGCTCAAGGGGAACTAATTATTTTATTTATAGGGAATTTTGACAGAATATGTTTTTTACGGCTGATCAGTTGAATTGCTGTAACTATCAACTATGCAACAGATATTAATATCCAAAATATATAGAAAACACTATTTATTAGTGCGGTAACAAGATTGACAGTTTAAACATTAATTTGTAAGCACACAACACAAGACACTTTTCTTTAAATACAAACAAAACTTTACTGGACAAATATATGCAATTCCTTAGACCTTAAACGATTCCTTAAGCAATTCCCTAAACAAACCATACATTTTTTAATTTAACCCTAGCATTGACTTTTCAATAAGGCTATGAAACTTTATTAAATGCACCAGTTCAGCTGATTCTTCATTGATTCGCTGACGGTCTGGAACAATCTGGAGTGATGTCTTGGGAAGACAACCACGATGGGCATTGGCTGAAGGATAGATGATGAGTCTCATAGGCTGGTTAAGGTTTGATGCGGTCAAAGACAAAGTCGGATACAGCTTTGCGCCAACTTAAAAAATGAGACTTTCAATGGAAAAGAAAATAAACTACATAAAAGAAAGAAAGAAAAAAGGTGTGTGACAAGACTAGATGGCTTATCTCCTCATGATGGTAGAGAAACAGCAATCAAGCAAGACAAAAGCTCCCGAAAGCCAAAAAACAAGAAAAAATGTTTGTGTCATGTAGGGATGGGTGATAAAACGATATCATATTGAGATCATGATTAAAAAAAGATTGCGATGATAAGCTCTGGACATTTTTACTCTATATGGATTAATCTAACAGTCTATCACACATGAGAAATAAAGGCAACAGCAGCAATCAGTGCATGCCTCTAATAAGTCTGCATGTTCTGCATGCCTCTATGTGATTGAATGGCATGGTTTAGGAATTAGTTTTAGAAGGGTAGATGGAGTAATGTAATTTTACCACAGGGCGTCTGTAATATCAATGGCCAATTCGCACTGGATAAGAAATCTCAGTAAAACTATCAGAAATGGGAGGGGTAACTCGATTTACACACCCGCCATCACGTCCCTGTCGTCATGTGTGTGCCATATTGCATACTGTGCGTACTATGTACTACCAACTAGAATGAAATTGAATGATTATTCGAGCACTTTCATACTTGAAAAACTGCGGAAAACTATTTTAAACGCTAAATTATGGAATATTTATGTACATATTTACAGCTGGTCTATTTGCACAGGATTAGCATTACCTGAGGTAATTTTTCCGGACCTTTTTACAGAAGATAAAATTCTCCATAATCTTTACTGACATTAGCTGGGTTTCCATCCAAAGTTGTGAATTTAATTTATGTGCAAAACTGGAATATCGTAAAAAGCGCATGCTCTGGAATTTGATATACTCCTCTGAGGATTTCCAGCCAATTGCCACCAAACTCTGAGAACATGATTTCAAAACATTGGGGATGCTAAATTATGAAGGGATTTTTGATATCTCGAAACGGTTTGCCCATGGCGAGGCGATGAAGTTATGGCGAGAAATGAGAAAAAGAAAGTGTCTAATAACATCCACATACATTGTCTGATTTTGATCAAACTTCAGGGGGTTGTTCGTTGTATGATGCCGATCGCATAGATGTGACTATTAGGAGTCAAAGTTATAGCTCCACCAACTGGCAGCAGGAAAGGAAGTGTGTCATTTTCAAAATACTTTGAATTCAGCATCTTATTTTTACTCGATTTGCTTCAGACTTCATCAGAATAATGTCAAAACACAGCCGATGTAAAACTGTTGAGGGAATATTAATATCTAAAATACTGTTGCCATGGCAACATTTCAAACTTGAATATTCTTTTCTGGTGATTTAGAAGCAGATAACATGCTTAGAATTTCATGAAACTCAACACACAAATCAGTATTAATGACAGACAGACACTGGCAAAAGCTCATAAAAGGGCGTGGAGGAGGCACTCTATAGCGCCACCTTTTGACAAAAGTTGGGGGGTTAGTTTTAGCTACAGACACAAAACTCGGTACAGACATTGTTCTCATCAAGACGGACAACTTTCTAATTTACAGTCATCAGCTACGACAGGAAGTCAGCTATTTTGCTTTGAATGTGGAATTTTGGAAAAATCAGGCAGTGGAATTTTAGATACTCCGTCCAGGAGAAACAAGCAATTCACACCAAACTTCGTCTACATGATGCCAATATACTGAAGATACTAAATTGTGAACGGATATTGGATATCTTGAACGGTGTTGCAGTGGCGATTTATTAAAGTAACAGTAAAAAAGATAGCAGTAATTTTCTTATATCTTTAACCAAGTCATTCGAGAACAAGTCATTCTGAGGAAATATGGTTAGTTTCATGACTTTACAAAGCTCTATGGATAAAAGAAAAAAAAAAAACTATCAGACATAAAAAGATCTAACGATACATAAACGTGGACTTATATATTTTTGTGCTGCAAATAATAATTTGACACTCATTTGATACCAACCTAAGACATCCTGTGACATGACATTCATCTGAATTTACATCATCTCATGAATGTAACAGTAAAACAGTTCAGCTCACAGATGAAGACTAAGCTGTAATACAGGCCAAAATATTTCACGAATATTATAGATCAATAAAATAGTTAAAAAATGCTTATAAACAATTAAAGGTTTTGATAACACTTTAAAATAAGGTCTCATTTGTTAACATTAGTAAATGCATTAACTAACAATGAACAATATATTTTCACAGCATTTATTAATGTTTGTTGATGTTAGTTAATCAAAATGTTCATGTTAATTCACAGTGCATTAAAGGGATAGTTCACCCAAAAAAGAAAATTTGATGTTTATCTGCTTACCCCCAGGGCATCCAAAATGTAGGTGACTTTGTTTCTTCAGTAGAACACAAACGAAGATTTTTAACTTAAACCGTTGCAGTCTTTCAGTCATATAATGTCAGTCAATGAGTCCCAGAGCTTTGAGAGTTAAAAAAAACAAACATACCCAGACAAAACCAAATTAAACCCTGCGGCTTGTGACGATACATTGAGGTCTTAAGACACAAAACGATCGGTCTGTGCAAGAAACTGAACAGTATTTATATCATTTTTTACCTCTGATACACCGCAATGTCCAACTGTCCTGAGTGCATTCACAACATCACAAACTCATGGCAAAAAGTTATCAAAAGAATTTCGATTGGTGATTCAGGTTCGCAACAGAATGCTAAAACGTTTGAAGTAGCAGTTGCCTTTTACTAAAATGGTTATATCTCTTGATTGCAATGAGATATTTTCACCAAACATGGTTACACATGTAAAAAAAAAAACTATCAGACATAAAAAGATCTAACGATACATAAACGTGGACTTATATATTTTTGTGCTGCAAATAATAATTTGACACTCATTTGATACCAACCTAAGACATCCTGTGACATGACATTCATCTGAATTTACATCATCTCATGAATGTAACAGTAAAACAGTTCAGCTCACAGATGAAGACTAAGCTGTAATACAGGCCAAAATATTTCACGAATATTATAGATCAATAAAATAGTTAAAAAATGCTTATAAACAATTAAAGGTTTTGATAACACTTTAAAATAAGGTCTCATTTGTTAACATTAGTAAATGCATTAACTAACAATGAACAATATATTTTCACAGCATTTATTAATGTTTGTTGATGTTAGTTAATCAAAATGTTCATGTTAATTCACAGTGCATTAAAGGGATAGTTCACCCAAAAAAGAAAATTTGATGTTTATCTGCTTACCCCCAGGGCATCCAAAATGTAGGTGACTTTGTTTCTTCAGTAGAACACAAACGAAGATTTTTAACTTAAACCGTTGCAGTCTTTCAGTCATATAATGTCAGTCAATGAGTCCCAGAGCTTTGAGAGTTAAAAAAAACAAACATACCCAGACAAAACCAAATTAAACCCTGCGGCTTGTGACGATACATTGAGGTCTTAAGACACAAAACGATCGGTCTGTGCAAGAAACTGAACAGTATTTATATCATTTTTTACCTCTGATACACCGCAATGTCCAACTGTCCTGAGTGCATTCACAACATCACAAACTCATGGCAAAAAGTTATCAAAAGAATTTCGATTGGTGATTCAGGTTCGCAACAGAATGCTAAAACGTTTGAAGTAGCAGTTGCCTTTTACTAAAATGGTTATATCTCTTGATTGCAATGAGATATTTTCACCAAACATGGTTACACATGTGTAGAAGCTCAGTCCGAGGTCACAGTAACAAATTTAGCTTTTGGCCACTTGGTGGCACTGTAATAGGAAAAAAAACATGAAAACCACTACATCTACACAACAGTTAGTCTGATTGACTTGAAAATTGGCATGCACTGTCCTTGTCCAAGTTGCCATGATAGGTAAAGCGATTGTCCACTTGGTGGCGCTATAACAGAAAAAAACATGAAAATGGCTATAACTACGCAATCGTTAGTCCGATTGACTTGAACATTGGCGTGCAGTGTCTTGGTCGAAGGTGCCATGAATGTATATGAGCCATGAATGTCTCTCAAAAATCATGGCTGCCATTGGCCTATGAAATTTGAGAACCTGTTAGACCAGGTTAACAGAGGCCGATCAAAACGAAACATGGTGGGCCTGTTTGACTTGCCTCTAGCAGTCTGTGTGAAGTATAAAAGAAATCAGTCACCGGGTGGCGCTACGTATCACACATAAACAATATTCATAGCATATGTTGAATCTCCTCATTCTCTATAACTTTGCCTTAAGGTCCTAGGTATTTCACTAAACTTCAAAACCACTGCATTACAATTCTCTAGATTTTTTAGGTCAATAATTATCAAAAACTGTTGAACTTTACCATTTGGATAGCCATAACGGGATCATTAAGAAAATGGCCATCTCCAA